GTGGGGTGGGGCGGGGGGCTTATCCCTGCAGCTCTCTCCAGGGGCTCGCTGGGTAAGAGTTACACGGGATGTTGCAGTGGTTACCAAGGGGGATCCAGGCCAAGCTAGGGCTCAGCCTGGGGTCTGGCCCCAGCCTGTGTCCACTGTGACAGCCCATTTCCCTCCCCTACAGCGCTTCTTCCTGAGCAGTGCCCGCCAGGCCTGCCTGGCACAGAGTGGCTCTGTGCCTCCTGCCATGCAGTGGCTCTGCCACCCCGTGGGCCACCGTTTCTTCGTGGATGGGGACTGGGCCGTGCTCAGTACCCCACGGGAGACCCTGTACAGCTTGGCTGGTAACCCAGGTGCTCTCTTACCCTTTCCCTGTCCCCTCTCCTGTCCCATGTCCTCATTCCTGTTCTGTCCCTTGTCGCCTGAATCTCTGGCTGTCTCTGGCCACCCCAGTCCTTCTCCCTGCCATGGGTTATTGATGTGGGGGCTGTAGGAAGGGAAAGGCCTGGGTGAGTCTCGGTTCCCACTGGGGCTTTCAGAAGCACATGCAGGGATTGAAGGGCAGGTGGCTGATTGGAGAGGTGACCCCAGGCAGCACCGCTGTGGAGTAAGGAAGCGGAGCCAACAGTGGTACCTTCTCAAGTCGGTTTTCCTTTGGGAGCAGCGTAGGGCAGGCCTCAGTGTTGTCCTGGCCAACGCTGGTGCTGGCGTAGTTATGTCCACCTGTTTTCCCCTGTCCTTGGCACGGGCTGCACCCAGGGGCATGCCGGCACTTCCCAGTGACCCTGAGTGTGGCCCCAGCCCACCCAGGTAAAAGCCCTTAGCTTGGAGAAAAGGGTGGGGCCCTGCTCCCCACCCCACTCACCTCCTCTTCTCCACAGTGGACCCCCTGGCCCAGGTGACTCAGCTATTCCGGGAACATCTCTTGGAGCGAGCACTGAACTGTGTGACCCAGCCCAACCCCAGCCCTGGGTCAGCTGATGGGGACAAGTAAGTGTCATTGTGCCCTCCTCCAGGCAAGGCTCCTCCAGCAGGATTCTGGGAATAGCTCTGTCCTCAACCCTGCGGAGAGGGCCAGAGCTAGGCTACCATGCGTGCCATGCGCCCTTCGTTCCTCTCTGGGTTTCCTCTCCCCACCAGCCTATGGGAGGAGACAGTGGCAGTTTGCAGAGCCAGGGGTCAGGCTGTACTCTAGTGGGCAGGTGGGGAGGGCCAGCACCCTCCTAGGACCCCTGCCATCTGTCCCGACAGCCAACCCTCTCCTGCCACAGGGAATTCTCGGATGCCCTCGGGTACCTGCAGCTGCTGAACAGCTGTTCTGATGCCGCGGGGGCTCCTGCCTGCAGCTTCTCCATCAGTTCCAGCATGGCCACCACCACCGGTGAGCCCCCGGCCCCTGCCCTGGCTCCCTTCTCAGTCCCCGTGCAGCGTGGCTGAGGGTTCAGGGGACCCTCCCTCTTTTGCAGGCATAGACCCAGTGGCCAAGTGGTGGGCCTCTCTGACGGCTGTGGTGATCCACTGGTTGCGGCGGGACGAGGAGGCGGCTGAGCGGCTGTGCCCACTGGTGGAGCACCTGCCCCGGGTGCTGCAGGAGTCTGAGTGAGTGCACGGCAGGTTCCTCCTGCCTGGCCCTGGGCCCAGCCTCCCTCATCCCCTGGGCACTGTGCCTCCACTCAGCCTTTGTGCAGGGAACTCGAGCCAGGGCAGTGGGAAGCACTCAGCCAGGGTTTGTGGACTGGTCTGATTGGCACTCTTCTGCCCTGGTCCCAACAGGAGACCCCTGCCCAGGGCGGCTCTGCACTCCTTCAAGGCTGCCCGGGCCCTGCTGGGCTGTGCCAAGGCAGAGTCTGGTCCAGCCAGCCTGACCATCTGTGAGAAGGCCAGTGGGTACCTGCAGGACAGCCTGGCTACCACACCAGCCAGCAGCTCCATTGACAAGGTGAGGGGTGGGGCCAGGGGCCTGGCAGGGCTGGGGGACTCAGCCTTCCATTCCCTGGTCCTTCTCCCCAGGCCCCAGGGACTGCAGAAGACCATGGGGTTAGCCCAGGCAGCACAGGATGAGGGGTCCAGCAGATAGGAGGTCTAGCAGTCCTTGCTTTTTGGCTAAGGCTTCTGTCTAGTGGAGAGGCGTTGCCCTTATCTGGCCTCAGTTTCCCCATTCTGGGAGGATGGGGGTGGATGGTGTGGTAGGATCCCTTTGGAGGCCCTGCATCAGGAGGGCTGGACAGCTGCTCCTGGGCCGGTGGCGGGCGTGGGGGCCAAGAGAGGCGGGCGGCCCCGCGGTGCATTGCTGTTGCATTGCACGTGTGTGAGGCGGGTGCAGTGCCTCGGCAGTGCAGCCCGGAGCCGGCCCCTGGCACCGCGGGCCCCCATCCTGCCCCTCCCAGAGTTGGAGCCCTGGTGACCCTGCCCTGCCCGCCACCCCCAGGCCGTGCAGCTGTTCCTGTGTGACCTGCTCCTTGTGGTACGCACCAGCCTGTGGCGGCAGCAGCAGCCCCCGGCCCCGGCCCCGGCAGCCCAGGGCACCAGCAGCGGGCCTCAGGCTTCTGCCCTTGAGCTGCGTGGCTTCCAACGGGACCTGAGCAGCTTGAGGCGGCTGGCACAGAGCTTCCGGCCTGCCATGCGGAGGGTGAGTGCCCAATGACTCCCTGTCCTCAAGATGGGGAGTCAGGCAGTGGTGGAGAGGGACAGCCCTGAGCCTCCACTCTCCTGGCCCCCAGGTGTTTCTACATGAGGCCACGGCCCGGCTGATGGCGGGGGCCAGCCCCACACGGACACACCAACTCCTCGACCGCAGTCTCAGGCGGCGGGCAGGCCCCGGTGGCAAAGGAGGTAAGGGGCAGCTGCTGACCAGGGATGTGCTGTCTGCTCAGCAGGGAAGGGCACACATGGGGTGTGATACCAAGGGAGGCTGCGTGTGTGTCAGATGGGACAGACAGGCCTGGCACAGTGGCTCACGCCTAGCACTTTGGGAGGCCCAGTCAGGAGGATAGCTTGAGCCCAGGAGTTGGAGGCCGCAGTGAGCCTGGGTGACAGGGAGAGTCCCTATCTCAAGGAAAAAAACAAAAAAACAAGCATCTTCTTGGTGGTTACCTGATGACAGTTCCTTTCACAAGAAATCAGTGGGGCAACTGTCATTTGTGGGATATATGACTACACGTGCGTGACTCAGTCTGTGGACTTTATGTGTGGGCTGAGACTAGGGTGGGGAGAGG